TATATATATATATATATAGTTCTACATTGTGTATGCATGGAAAGTATAACAATGATCTAATTTAATAATATAATCATTACTGCCTAGCTCTCCAAACAGGTTAACAACCAATTGAAAAACCATCTAAAATTTAAACCTTTTGAGACTTATTAGGACCAAATTTCTTGTTCAGGGGCTAATCTATCCAAATATATAAAACATAAATAACATTCAAAATATTATTTACATACATACATATACATAACATATATTACATATATTACATGTTTATCTTAATTTTTAAAGATTAAATGGTTAAGTTCTTGTTCAGGTGCAAATCTATCCAGGGGCAAATAGAGGGCATACAAAACATACCAAGAACAGCCCCAAAACATACAAGAAGTCCAATAGAAGTATAATAATGATCTAAATTGATAATATAATCATTAATGCCAAGCTCTCCAAACAAGTTAACAATCAATTGAAAAACCATTTAGAATTTAAACCTTTTGAGATTTATCACGACCAAATTTCTTGTTCAGGGGAAAATCTATCCAAATATATAAAACATAAATAACATACATAATATTTTTTACATACATACATACATATACATAACATACATTACACATTACATGTTTATTTTAATTTTTAAAAATAAAATGGTTAAGTTCTTGTTTAGGGGCAAATCTGTCTAGGGGCAAATCTACATACAAAACATCAAAGAACGACCCCAAAATGGTAATGACAATTTAATGCACTAAAGACAAATAGCAGATAATATTATTAAAGAAAATAGTTAGATCACTTAAAGTCTTGGCATCCAATGCACTTTTTAATGAGTTTTGTGCTCACAAGAACTTTTAATTCATTGTTTTTATTGACAGTTTTATTGTAATATTCATTTTTTAATGTATTTAAAATCTACCATATTGTAATCACATATTGACATCATTCATTTTGTTTAACTTCGTTGGTCAACCGAACCACAAAGTCTGACATTCTATATTTATGTAGTCGCTTGTAATTATGATCATTATTTCAATACATAGTGATTGAGGAGGGATGTACAACAGGAAAGAAAACGGGTATCTTAGTGCGTCATATAAGACATATGTTGATTACTTTTTGGATGTTGCTTTTCTAATGAAGCAACCGCCGATAAGGTTTGTATCAAATGTCCTTGTAGTAAATGAAAGAATATTCCCTATAGGAGAAAAGATGATGTAAAGCTTCACCTGTTACAACACGGGTTCACCCCTAATTACACAACTTGGTGGGCACATGGTGAAAGTACCGCAACATTTCGACATGAAGTGCAACCTCCTAATGTAATGGAAGATGATGAATTGGATGGGTGCACGCACATGGTGATGGATGCAATGGGTTCTATAGATAATTTTAAATTTAATCAGGAAGAACAAGTCCCAAATCCATATGCCAAGGGGTTCTATTATATGTTACATGATGCTGATGAACCTTTATGGGTAGGGTGCCAAAGTTATTCAAAATTACAAGCATCATCAGAGTTGTTGAATTAGAAGTCAGAGTATAATATATCTGAGGCTACTTATGATCACATACTTCCCATGATTAAGCGGATGCTACCCCTAAGTGAGAAATTGGTTGGGAACTTCTATGAAACAAAGAAGTTATTGAAAAGACTTGTGCTTCCGGATAAATAAAATGATGCTTGCAAAAATCATTACATGCTTTACTATGGGATTGATTCAGATTTAACCAAGTGTCGAGTTTGTAGTCATGATCGTTACAAGAGTGATAGGTTAAGTTTGGTTCCTTATTTGAGGATGCAATACTTGCCAATTGCTCCTAGACTTAAGAGGTTGTATATGATAAAAAAGACGGCCAAACAGATGACTTGGCACTATGAACATGTAGAGAACCAGGTTTGATGGCCCATCCAAGCGATGGTGATGCGTGGAAGCATCTTGACTCAAAGCATCCAGAATTTGCAAGTGATCTAGGAAACGTTCGTCTTTGGTGGTATGTGTCTCATTTCTTGAAAATTTTGTAGGAATTAAAGCTTAAACTCCCACTTACTCAACTTGAACTTTTTGAAAAAACACACCGAACTAAAAAATCAAAAGAAGGCACTTCAAATACCGAGTACATTACAACCAAGGCCGAAATAGTTGTGGTATTTGCTGAATCCTTAATAAATTAATTATTATTCTTTGAGGATATATATTTAATTTTAATATATACTAATTTGTTTATGATAATATAAAATGCATATAAGAACGTAATGGTGGCTAGATATGGTGATGATAGTGATAGCCATCCCCCTTATGATCATGGATTATGGATTGAAGCTAGTGGAGGGATCAAGAAAGGAAGAGTGCTTGGATTTGGTTTTGTGTCTGATCCACAAAGGTTTTTGATGCCTTCTTTAGTAGCCCCAAGTACATCTTCAGATAACTTAGAGGTTTGTTTATTCTCTTTTGCTAACCTGTTATTTTATTTTCATGTTTTTCTGTTTTCCTACTTGAAAGTACAATGTTGACATGTTGTCATATTTTCCTCCTTGAAAGTACAATGTTGTTATTGGTTGGTTCATCTTGAAAGTACAATGTTGTCATGTTTTCATCCTCGCCTGTTGTCTTGTTTTAATGTTTTCCTCCTTGAAAGTATAATGTTATTCTTGGTTCATCTTGAAAGTATAATGTTGGTTCGTTTTTCTATTTTACTTCTTGAAAGTACAATGCTATTCTTGGTTGGTTTATCTTGAAAGTACAATATTGACTTGTTTTCCTTCTTGAAAGTACAATGCTATTGTTGGTTGGATCATCTTGAAAGTGTTGCTCATTCTTGTTGGTGTTGTTTGTATTTAGTTGTTATTTTATTTATTTTTGTACTTATTAGTGTTGTTCATGTCATTTAAGTTTATAGTTGTTAATTTACTTTGTAGGTCATCATGGATCGAATCCGTGAGGAGATGAATAAAGAATTTAAGTCGGAACGTGATGAAATGAAGCAAGCGCTTTTGGCTGAATGTACAGAAATAGAGGCACAAAAACAAGAAATTGTGAAGATGTATAACGAAATACTAAAGCTCGCCCAAGGAAATAACACTAATTAGCCGTTTGCACTTCTAACTTTTGTGACTTGGTTTCGATACTTTGAAAACGAGTATGGATATTTATTTTGGTAGTCGAATTTTAATGTTTTGAATTCAAATATTAATGTTCCTTTTGTTAGTCAAATTTTAATGTTTTGAAATCAAATATTAATGTTCATTTTGGTAGTTGAATTTATTGTTTTGAAATTGAATAGGAATGTCTTATTTAGCTTTGTAACATAACATTTGATTTTGATTATGGAATAATGACAAATAATCGGTTATTATTTCATATAAACAATTCAGCGACCGATCTGCGACAGATCTGAACAGTGCTAGGAATTTTTTGCGACATCATAATTGGTCGTTAAACCGTCGTTATTATCTCATCAATGACGAATTTACGAAAGACATTAATTTTTTCAAGAACCTTCTGCGACAAGATAATCTGTCGCTAACTCTGTTGCTAACAAAAAAAAATTGTCGCTGATTCTGTTGCAAACCTTCAGCGACAAAGCTTTTACTGGTGGGCACATTCTGTCGCTGATCGGTCGCTGAGGGTCTTTAGCGACGGATTTCCGACTGATATTTCTGTCACTGAAGCCTGTATTTCTAGTAATGCAATTTATGTTTTCTTCGATCTATGTCCACACAATTTTTTTCCTAACAATGTTTTCAAAAAGCAAGGAAGTTTGTGATTAAGAAGCATAAAAGATCCCTTCCAAGAACTCCTTAACCATAACCAAGACCTAAAGCGCCTTGAAACACTCCAACCGAGTATTGTACAAAGAAAGATGAGGAGTCGAGATACCCTGCCATCTAGTAACTTGAGAAAGAATACTAGAAGGCAAAGAGCATCCATAAAACAAGTGACTAGTTGATGACAACTCTTCATCACAAATAGAACACAAGATAGACGGCACATCAACACCTCGATTATCAAGGATAACTTGAGTAGCAAGACGATCAAGGACCACGTGCCAAAAAAAAACTATTAACTTTTATAGGAACAAAATAAATCCACCTTGTCGGAGAGCTCGACAATGGTAACATCTTCTCATCAATATAAGCCTTTGTAGAAGCAACAAAGAAAACTCCAAAACCCAATAAAGACCAAAACCACATGTCAGGAATACAAGAAAGAAAAACATTCTCAATCAACGACAACATAGCCTCCCACTGAGAGTCTCTACCCCCCCCCCCCCCCCCGGATGACACATAAAAGAATATAACAAGGACTCGTGCTCAAATTTTGATTCAGTCAAAATTTAATTATCAGCCTCCAAATTTAACATTCTAGGGAATTGATTTTTAAGGGGCGAACCTCCCACCCAAGAATCTTCCCAGAAAAAAAGTACGTAGTATTTTCATCACCGCTTTTCTTAGAGCACAAGTGAACCAAAGTCACACCTAAGTTGTTCAGATGCTCCACAACTTTAAGAATATCAACCCAGTATACCTCCTTCTAGAAAGAACAACACCATCAATACCTCCTGAAAACACATGAATAGATTTGATCATAGAAACCCACAACCCTAAAGGAATCATAAAAAAAAGCCAAATCCATATAGAAAGAAGGGCACGTTTTAGCACAAACAAACTGCTATAGAGGAAGAATTACAACCAATATGGAAATTACTAGAAGTAAAAAATTCCATAACTGCATTTACCACTTCTTTCTCCATTATATACTAGTATTGTCTAATGAAGTCAAAAGATAGGTCGTCCGGTCCCGGAAACTTATCAACACCACAATCCCAAACCGCTTTTTGATCTCATCTGGAGTAATAGGACCTTCCAACACCTCCACCTGATCCACATATAATGTATTTCAAAAATTATTAATAATAAGAGGCCAAAAACCATTAGAGGAAGCAAAACGACCGTTAAAATGCATAAAAAAAACTCATGTTTAACATAAGAAGGAGTATCCACTCACTCCCATCCACTAGTACACCACAAAAAACCAATTTTTTGCATTATGATAAGTGGTTAGTTAGTTATGTTAAATTCATAGTTAGGAAATTGCTTAAACATTTTATTTTAGTTAGTTAATTATGTTAACTACATTTAACATATGAGGAGCCGAAGAGACGCTGGACAGTTTCTTGGAAAGGTTGGCAAGAACAGGCATACAACAATGACTAGAAGAAAGATTGTTAAGTGTTGGGTATAAAGTTATCCATATATGACTTTGTAAATGGTTTGACTTTTGTAGACCCACTTGCATATGGTAAAGTAGTATTATGACATGAGAGAGAGAGAGAGAGAGAGAGAGAGAGAGAGATGTAAACACCTCTATATAAGGTGGGTTCGTACCACTTGTAGAGGTGTGCTTGAAAGATGTAGTTCATAGTGATTAGTGAGTGAGGTATTTATGGAGTTTTAGATTTAGTACATTTTTTGTACTCATTTACTATGATCGAATACACCTTTTAGCACCCAAATCATCATGTTCTTTGTGTGCTCTTTAATTCTACATGCCAAATCAATGCTCATAATTCACATCAATTGGTATCAGAGCGGGTCTTCGAAGATCAACGTGATTTTTTGAAGAAACGGTTCTCGGTTTGGCAACAATCATCACAATCGGAACATTTATGGTGAGTCTCTCGATAATCTCTCTAAATCTCTTTGATTCGTGCGTTGCGTTCTTGAATTTTTGATATTTTGACTTATTGGATCAATTTTTTTTTAAAAACCCACTTGTTATGATCCAATAAAATTTTTCATTGATCAAGCCCAATCCAATCCAACATTCATGTGTTCGTTTCGATTCTTGCAATTGCTCATTTGAATCCAAAATTTAATTCTAAATGAGTTAAATCAAATATTTGATTATGTTCCTTCGATTATGAAGATTTTAATTCAAAATTTCGAACCAAACAAATTAAGCCCAACCATATGATCCATTACTGTTCATGACATT